TCCGGTTCAGCAGACGTCCGCTACGTCACTGCGAGCGCTTAGACACCAGCTGATTGGTGAGGTCAGGTGTCCTGAATGCGCAACAAAGTACGCTGACATCCGCGTAGAGTAAGTGCCCACTGAACAGTGCTGTAGATCATTGGTCGCATATTTGCCAGACATTACTATCAGCAGATATGTTTTCATGAGGCAAATCAAATTGCCAACCTAAACATTGGGTCTTTAAATGGTCTTTAAAACTGTTGGCTTCTCGCCAGCGTCTTCCGACTAAAAGTGATTATCATGAAAGTTGCAAACTTCCCAGAGCAACACTACGTTCTAAGCAGAAAAGAGGCCATGAAGCGTAGTGTTCTCATAGTGCTTCAAATATGGAAACAGCCTCGGCCGTTGCTAACCAACGGAAATTACTCCGATTGGTAGGGGTAACGGGTAGCAGAGAATTAGTGTTATCGGGACTATACGCCACGATGGCGGACAGCCAATCTGCGGCCTTACAAAACATTTGAAACGTTGTGCCGAACAATTTGCAAAGCAGTTTAACCAATCTGACTTATCACTTCTATTTTTGCGGGGTCTACTATGTTTAATTTGTAGTGCAATTTTCTAGTCTATTATCTTTTAGTATTGCGGCACATTAGCTGAGGTGTGTTTTTCATCCTCAGGTAAGGTATACTGAGGATGGTGCTGCTGATGATGATTTTCGGGCATAGCTTGCCCTTCTCTCTTAGCCTCTCTTTGGAGCCGCTCCCTCGCGCAAAAGTCAAACTTGCGATCAGACTGTGGATATGGAATAAGGCCGCAGGGATAGATAGGGCCCTTCCAGCCCTCTTTACATTTGGATGACATGCTCTTGAACATGTTCTACGGGTGTTAATAGTGCAACTTGGAGCAGAAGACAAGCGCAACAGATGGGAGTCGCTTCGTCATTGTACCAATTTACAAAGGAGGCTCCTGTTTGGCGACGATCATCGAGGAATAAGTCTGCTCTCTACTGCCTCTAAGTTGCTTGCATCTGTCATCCACCATAGACTGACTAACAGTCGTGAAAGCCAGATGGACAAGAAGCAAGCCGGGTTTTGTGGAAGTTGAGGCTGCATTGAGCACATCTTTAAATTACGTCATTTGTTGGAGCACCGTCATGTTATTAGCGACCCACCATCAAGGCCGCCTTTGCTTTGTTTGATCGATGTGCCCATTGAGACTGACTGTTGAGAAAAGGTGTGCTCATAAAATACGTAAACACTATCAGAGCGCTATATGTACATAGTTCGAACAAAACGAGATTTTTATGGATAACTGTCGCCGTTCTTCAATATCGCTGGCGGTTGGAAAGAAATTTGCCCGCTGTCACGTTTCTTGTTTAATATTGGCATTGACAAAGTCATAGAAACTGCAGTTGCTGGACACGCCAAACAAGTTGTGTAGCTACTACCTAGTGAGCGACTTCTCGACTTGGAGTATGTTGATGACATTCCGCTTATCTGCTACAGATCTCGAACGTGTCGACTAGCATTGGACAGATTAACACTGACGGTCAATTATTTTGTGTTATGCTTTGCACCATTGAACTGCAAATTACTTCACCAAGGTTGGCAGCGATCCACCCCTTGGTATCGTCTTGCTGGGTGACGATCCACACGTCGTTCAACTTGCACTAAACCGCTTGGCGATTTAAACATCAAAGTATGGTATGTACTTTTCGCCATCCAGATGCAAGGCTCTCTTCTAAGACTGGCAGGTGCCTCTGCCTGCACTCACTCTTGCTAGCGAGACACTAAAGGTTGTAGAGAGCTTTGTCTACTTGGGAAGTTGCATCACTGCTGGCGGGGCTGTTAAAGACGAGCTTTCGATGCGCATCTTGAGAGCACGCCTCGCTTTTTCTTAGCTGAGGCATTTGTGTCGTCGCCACGTCGTTGATTTCTCCATCAAAGGCACGCCTATTGTGCAACCGTTCGTGGTGTACTGTTGTACGGATGTGAGACTTGGCCCATTCGTAAAGATGACTTACGCAGACTATCCGTCTTCGAGCACCGCTGTCTGCGGTCCATTACCCGTGTGTGGTGGCAGTACCACGTAAGCAATGTGGAAGTTAGACAGGGTGTCTTGGGACGTGGATGCCACTCGCTCGAGGAGCTCGTCTCACTGCATCAAGTGCCGTGGTTGGGACACGTATTGCGCATGCCTACCCAGCGTTACCCGCGTCGTGCGTTGTTTGCGGTTGCTGAACGGGGCTGGAAGAGACGGTCTGGTGGACAGCCTACAACATGGAGAAGCCGCATGAAAAAGGTGACGAAACAGTTGGCCTCGGCCGGTTGTTGTCGACTACCAGGTTGGGGTCCGAGAGATGCATATACTTGCTGGTTGAAGACCTTGGAAGCCATGGCTCAAGATTGAGGTCAATGGCGGACGTGTGCATCGGTGTGTTGCGGTATTCCTTCTTCCTCCCCCTAAAAAACAATAAACTGGAAACAAATTTCAAAAACTGTGAGTGATAAAGTAGACAACAAAAGCTTTGGTTGTTGCTCTTTTCTTTTTATACATATTGTTTTCCTATTCAGCCATGATTCCGATGGCACAATATCTGTACCACAGACCGTGTATTCTATATATATATATATATATATATATATATATATATATATATATATATATATATATATAATTGTCTGTATACTTTAAAGACGACCATCTTGGCATTATTTTAGAGGAAAGGATGTACTAAGGACAGAAAAGCAGCAAGATGGAAAAAATAAATTTTGAAGCAGATACGTCCAACTAGTCACTAGTAACGAAGTTAATCTTAAAAATCTGAGGTAACAGGCAAAACATGTCTTCAGAAAATTGGGTAATTATATAAATCATTTTGTATATTCATCGTAGTTTCCTATAATCAGGACGAGTAAAACGCAATAAATAATTGTATAAATAAATAACTATTTAGGCGCACGATCGCAAGCGAACTTTATGGGTTACGGATGCCTAATTTGCAGTAAAATCGGTTTCTGTCATGTGCCTTGGACTGATGAAATTTCTATGCTCCTTCCACTTATTACTATTGGTAACTAACTTATTCTGACTATTCAATTTCAACTAGCGGTATCTATCAAATTTTGGTACTCTGGTCATAATTCTCTAACTAAACTAAGATCCACCATAAATTAACATCTGTTCATGCACGGATTATACGGCTTCATGAAGGTTACCGTCCCACCTTTTGTCACATTTTTAAGAGGACTATTGACTAAAACATGGAGCACAAATCGAGGCAAACAACATCACCACAGTTTTAATTTATGGCGCCCTTATTTGCTTTTTAACGAAAATGTTTGCCGTCTTTTAAATTCAATGCGTGGTAGTCATCACTGAAATTATTATAAGAAGGTATCAGCCGTGCGCCAAGAAGTAGTATCGGTGTTTCGCTGCAGCGCAACCACCATCAGTTAAACGTGAACAAAGGATACTGCGAGGATCGCCCAGCCCTTACGCGGGTTCGAACCTGCGCCCTCAAATAACAAGACAGGCTTGCGATCCTTTAGACTACGGATTATCCTCTATTCTCTAGCTAATTGTCCTCTTTTAGGCAACTACACATAATTTCTTGCATGTAGCCGTAAACTAATGTCAAGCTTAGAGAACGGGTTGTGTATGTCCAAGGCACTTATTTGAAACCGAGTAGCTAATGGATCCTTACTATGAAAATATCAACGTTTCAGTCTGGCGTTCGGCAAACTACTTTTCCAAGGTTTTTCTGTGCATTTACATGTAGGCAAATTCGATCACCTTAGCTCGGCGTTTTAAGTAGTATTATTCATGTTGTTATCTCGCAAAATCTTTTAACCAAGCAATTCCTACATTTATTTGACACGTATAAGTAAATTTCTATTTCCGCACTGGCACTGGTGCCTTATGCGACTAACTCACCATTTACTAGTAATCGTGCAATAAATTTGGGCAACCCCAGCTGACGCGTCACTTCCATGTTTCACAAAAACATCTCTGGTGGAATTGAGTCAAATGACGCTGAATCCGGAAAATGTTTCAAACACCATGCCTTTCCATGGTCTTCTGCAGTTTCGTATTGAGAAATCAATTATGCACGATGATTCTGTAGTAACGAAGCGTTAGTAAACAAATCATTGTAAAACAATATAACCATAAACTTATGCTCGAAACTAATATGTATTATATCTGGCACAGATTAGGTTCTTATATAAATAAGCGCTACAGGCACTCGTCTTGAAAAATATGTTATGAAAACCCAGTGTACACCTGTGCCTGCGTTTACAGTACTTAACATTTACAATTTCCTGCCTTCTGTAAATCAGATGACATGCTATCTAAAAGTTTTAGTTGCAAATCAGGTTTCTCATTTTTACAATAAGTTTACTACGTTGAAATGGCACTGTGATGTTTGCATACTGAAGCAACTGGAGGACCTATAAAGGTAACCCGTTTAAGCGCTTATCAATGTAGTAATCACAATCAACTTTTGAGGTTTATAGTAATGTAGACACGTTCGCCTTGGACCTACTAATAGCCACTAGCATGCTTTACTTCTTCACCTTCATTTTTACGCGGACCTCCTGTTTTATTAACCAGTATAAAACCTTACTGTATTTGTTTTTGCAAGCCACAACCTTCTGTACTGCTGTCAAGTTATATCACACAAGTTTTTGCGTGCGCACGGTGGTTTTGCCACTGAGTTACCTCCTAGATATACATTATGTCAGGTAGGGCAATATTCCTTGTCCGTTTATAGCCCCTGTCACCTTTTATCCGATAATCTAACAATTTCCAGTTAGTACTAGAGGTGATTGTTTTAGTTTTAATAAACACCGGCTCAGGTGCATGAATTCACTATTTTATTTAGTACTATGTGTTACAGTCTGAGCAAGATGTCAAACTTAGCATCGGCCTCGATGTTGTTGACAAGTGATTGTACTTACTACAGCTCGAATCGTTAAGCTAAAAATGGAATGCATTATTTATTGTATATTTAGATCAAAATCCAGCAACAGTTCAGAAACCGGCGAACGAAACTGCACTTGATACCTTTCGTTGCGTTTGTAAATACATCCGGTATGAATGGAGGCATTGCAAGAATAGCATTTTCAGTGCACACTAGGTAGACTAACGATATTGCATTTCGTTCCTTGTCCTTCTTCAGTTCTTTGCTTTTTACTACACAACGATATAAACTAAGGGCATTCCTGATAACAAAAGTCAGCTCGACGAAGTGATGCATCATCCATGGTTGTTTGATTCCTATATTTGCCGAACCTTCTTTAGTTAGTTGGATCCAGGGATTCTAGAACCCATAGTTATCACATATAGTAGATTAATGATAAACATTTGCAACTAAGTTGAATTGTGGTAGAAGAATCCAGAAAATATTAACCTTAGCTATCTCTCGATCCTTTCTAAGATCCTAAGGCACAGGCGATTGCATCTGGTTGAGTTACACATAAATACCCTAGAAAAAATAACAGGTTACGATCGATTGAAGTGGATCCGCAAAACGTTGTAGGGTATTCCTTTTCAAACATGTAGGACCACTCTTTTAGTGACTTCTAGTAGCACACAAAAGCAGCGTTGTTTATTATGGACAATTCTAAAACGAATAAACTGCGTCAAAGCTGGATATTTTGCTAATGTTGAGAAAGTGTGGAATATATTTTCTGAATTTACCTACCCTCTTGCTTAAATTTGCTGCTTAAGTCCGTTTTTCACCGATGCGGAACGACTAAGACGCGCTGTAACGCACGCGGAGTTGCCCACGCTCGTGTAGCTAATACAAAGAGGACGAAACTAGGACTGTACATATGTTAATGCAAGCCAACTTGCATTCAACATACACGGCGCTTACTGTCATCTTAACTCTGGCATTAACTTCCCATAACTTTGAAACAGCCTAGGAGTATTTCAGATAAAGCATGCACTACTATGGCTTGCCCGCATTTCTTGAACAATGCATGTAACCGGAAGTGTTTCTCTAACGGACGACGGATAAACAACCCTGTTGTCTACCAGTCCCTGTGTGGATTGCTACCCAACATCACAACAAACGTATGAACTATTTGGCTTTCAACGGTCTTCGAAATCATCGAGTGGTTGGATGCCCCAGCAAAGAGTTTCTAAACCCTAGGCTGCTATGCTCTGGAGCATTGGGTACCTTGTGCCTACTCGAAAAGCGTGTTATTGGCACCCGACGGCTCACGAAGCACATTAATTGCCATACTGCCTTTTAAAGCAGGTCTTTACAAACCACAGTTCCAGGTAAATTATCCCACTTTGAATCTGCTTCTTTGCCTGGGCACCTAGAAAAATGTTATGTTTGCTCTCTATCTACGTTCTCTACTTTTGCCTCCTTTGGCGAATATGCTGGCAGGCAGCTCCGCTAAACCATGCTTCACCGCACTACCAGCTACAAATTCTGTTGATGGTTTGTGGAACCACTGTGCCCTTAAGATTCCCCACTTAATTCTGCGCCTCTAACAGAGTGGCGGCTGGAATGACAGTACGAACCGTGTCTATGAAAAATCCAAAACCACGCTTGCGTCACCCAGTGGTGCATATAGAACGTTTCTCGTCCTCCGTTCTCAAGTTAGCTTGACCACTTCCAATGTTCGCATTTTTTGAACAATTCGTTTTCCAGCCATAGGCACTTGTCTTACAGAAGGCGGACGAGCAATCATGTTGCCTGTCCACTTTTGTGTGAACTGCTATCGAACGCAAAACGCACTTATGAGTCACCTGCCTTTCAACGGTCTTCGAACTCATCGGCTTTTTAGACGTACCAACAAACCGTTTCTGAACCTAAGTCTATGTGATTGGCGGCATCCGGTTCCGGATTTGCCTAGCACTGTGACCTCCATGGAGACAGTCACAGGACGCTTGCGTCTGGAGAAGGGCCATGAATGTCTTGCGCTGCACTACTCAGCTCCATCCACACCCTCACACACAAGTGTAAACGAGAAGAAGTAAAACCGGGGTGCACGTGGACGGGAGCCATGTTTAGTCAACGGAGCCGGCCTATACTCCTTCAACTTGCAGCAGCATTCCTGTTTAGCTACTTTTAGAATAATGTTTGCAGACTTACGCGCGGCAGTGGCTGGGCCGTGGCCCGTTCCGCATTGGATGGGACTACACAATGAGCCCAGCGCCGTCACCAGGACGGTGTAACCCACCCCCAGCAGCGTTTCACAGTCTCTTATACTAGTATGGAGGAGGGGAAGTGTAATAGACCGTAAAGCAATTTGTTAACATTTACATGAAGCGCAGCCACACCGGTTATCTCAAGTAACAGCCAACACCTTAAGTGCAATCTACTCAACATGCAGGCACACGTACAGACCAACCGCAACGACGTTATAACACACGTACCACATTAGCCCCCTTATTAGCCAAAGCTAGTAAATCGGATAGAAACGGACGCAGCTGATGTTGATTGGATACTCAACTGACTCATCGTCTTTTGGACGGTGGTTTTGCGTGGCCACGGTGGTGGCATGCCAGGATCGTTTGGCTGAGGCACTCGCGACCGCACGTACTCCAGCATTTATGCGCTTGATGTTGATAGGGTAGACTCAATCGGTGCCTATTGTTTCCATACAGAGCGTTTCAACGCAGCATGCAACAGGGCTTTCTCCTGTTCGTGAGCAACCACTTAATTATCGCAAGCCATTGACGCTAATCAACTACCTTTGATTCTCAACATCTGAAATCAGCATTAGTACGTGCTAAAGTCATTTTGACCTCATCCTGCTCACGCAGCTTTGGTTATCCCACGTGCCGTTTCCCTTCATAAGCTAGGTTTAATTAGCAGCTGTTTGCGTATCCACGTCGAATTCATGCGGCTAATTTGTTCTAGTCACCTCAGGTGCTGCTGCAGAAGTATGCAGTCCCCCGCATGCATGTCAAATCGGCGCAGAACTGCCGTATGTGCAACTCTATCATCCCAGCACATTACTAAGGTTGGTTTCAGCTTCTGCTTTCTTCTGCGGTGCATTCACAACACTCCTAATCCAAGATCTATCTGCTGAAGACGCGAGCCAAGCTGGTGTGGGAATTGCTTTTAGTTCGCGCGCAAGCGCATGGATATTTTATTAGATTCCAAATAACAGGTGGCAGTACATTTTGACTGGAAATCTCCGCACAATTGTTCATCTGCGAGGTAAACAAATACTGTTTATTTGGCGTAGCGCTTTATGCTCCTATGGATTGCTGCCCGGGTTGAGCTAAAGATTAGTTCTAACGACACCTCTGCGTGCTTCTCCATAAGGAGCGCCTCTTGGACATCCGAGTGTTGGTCGGGACTTAGACGCACAGATCGGTAGACACAATGAAGATGAACGCAAGCTCAAATTGCCGAATGATAGTGCTACTCGCTAGACAAGTATCGGATGCTGCCTACTACACTCCTTGCTAGTCACAGCTTGTTACTTTCGAACAGAAACTGTCGGTGCTCCTGGTGCCAGTGCTTCACCTAACGACCCCATCGCCTGGAATATCGTGGACTCAGATTCGTTAAATCGCTATCAGTTACCGTTGGTGAAGTTGCATAAAGGACTGAAAATCAATCCGTAGTACTTTTCTTACCCGCTTAAATTTGTGTGTGTATACTAAAGTTGCCCTATTGTTAAATTTTTGAGGTAATGAAATGTGCAGATGCAAATATTCTCTGGGCCTTCCAGAATTCGTTTGTTCTTAATCGCAAGTGCTCACCAATCTCATTTGTTGGGACGCATTAAACATAGTCTTGAGTGTCGTTTGCAGGTGTGGTAGCATCATATGTAGTTTCTCTAAGCACACCAACAACCAGTGAGTTTACGCTTTATCTGCTCAACCTATGAAAGACCGTCGATCAAGTTCTCTTCGTATCGGGTTCAATTCATTGCGGTAACCTACCAATACTGAGCTAAGACTGCTTTTCAGGTAGGATTAGAAAACTTTGTAGACGAAATGTGTCAGGGAAACTGAACATCTGCATCCTCAGGGAACTGCTGCAAACATTCCTCTATTTTACGATCCACAGCATAATCTTCAGTACACGATAGCTAAGGGCGAGAAACTTCCTCAGCTAATGTGCCACACTACAAAAGCTTAAATATCAAATATTATGGAATACAGATGTAGAAAGTGAGATATTGCTACATAACGTATTACGCATTGAGGATGAGATCGTGGTTGGAGAGTAAAGCTAAGAGGGAGAGCAAGGGACCAAGAAATTCACCACACGAACGACATTGAGGTCGGCTCTTTGTCTTGTAAAGTAGCGTATTCAACCAGAAGTGTTCACCGTCTTTCGGACCCCAAACCGGCAGTCGGGACCTTACAACCGACGTTAACTTCGGTGTGGAGGTATTTATTCCTCTTGACCAAGTCATTGCTTGGCCTCTCCTCCGCTTCATCTATCCACTTGCCCGACGGGTAAACATGGCACATCGCGGGAGTCGGTGTGCAGGCCTGCGCAATATGTGGGCCAGCAATCGGATCCTGCTTCACGATGAAATGGTGCTGACCTATTCAATCGCTGTCCCTTCACCAAACACATGATAAGGAACACATTTAGTGCTCATAACTGATGTAAGCTAGACTGCAAAGGCAGCGATAGTTGTGTCTAACTCACCTCCTTGTACCAGTAAACGCTGTGGACAAGGATTCGTAACCGTACAGGTCCTCACCGAATAACTGCGTCAGCGTTTTCATCGTCTCATCGAAGCCGAAGTCTCTTGCATTCTTCGGCAACACCAAATTTGTGTAACGTTCATGCTCGATTGCGCCAAGTTTCCTCAACAACAAACGAACTTTCCAGGCATCGTCCTGGTCTGCAAGTTCCACTCGAAAATTATCTTCATACTTCAAGAACTAGGATTCAAATGTCAATCCGTTCAATCCATCGAAAATAACTTCCGTGATTGAAGCCGCAATGGCGCTCACAGATGGCCGTGCGGATGTCGTCGGTGATTCGCTTTGGATGTTAAGCTTCTGCGATAATAACTCGATCAACTGTCTTTGAGAATTTTCAAACTGGAGTTTTTGCTGTTGAAGAAGCGCCTGCGTTTGCTGGAACGAAATCGACATGACTACCGGAACCTCCGTCGCCAGAAAAACTGTTGTGTTGCCGCTG